TTGACTTTTATTAGTGTAAATAACTAATAATAATAGGAAAAAAAACAAATAGTTATGACTGTTACGAACATTTTGGCAAATATATATATATATTACTTTCCCTTTATATTGGGTGGATAAATATCAGATGCTAGAGTTTTTTCCTCCTAAATTGGTTGTCCGTCCCACTGCACGCCGTGTTAGTGAAGCGAAAAGAATACATTGTATCAAAAAACCAAATTTTACGAGTTTTATGAAAGATATATATCTAAAAATAAATCGGACCTGCATGCTGTAAGCGGGGAAATGTTCAGCATTTCATGCTCTTTGTAATGGGATATTATTCCAAAGTTTATCCTAACGCGTCGCCGCGTTAGAGAGGCGAAAAGAAAAAATAGTTTCGAAAACCAAACGATAACCAGTTGTAAGATATAGATTAAAATATCTCAGAAACTAAAAATCGGACCTGCATACTGAATGCGAGAAAAATATTCAGCATTCCATTCCTTTTGTAATAAGCTATTATTTATAATTTATATTTCACATAATTAATCTCGCCTTGTTGATGTCATGTGTTCACTTCTATCGTGTGGTCTAAAGTACACACCGTAATAATTATCTTCTCCTTCAATGCCGAAAAATAAGCATATTCCCCAGAAAATTGTTCATAGTTTTTTTTATTGGTAGAGACTATACATTCCAACTGTTGGCACAAAATCAGCTTCTTTGTTAACTAAGCATTGAAGTCTCCCATGTCGTCATATTATTGGCGGAAAATCCTCTGAACATTCTCTCAAGCTTTTCATACAAGGTTTCCGTTTCTTTGTCTTATTTTATTTTGTTAAAACATTCACATCTAACAAAGATACATGTCTGGTAAGTAAGTCCATTGATTCCAATTGTGAAGATTCTTCCACTAATTGGTTGGAAAGCAATTATGCCTCTCTGCAGACTCTTTTCCACTACAAATTCTGTTCCAAATTCACGCTTATCCTTAATTCTACTATAGTATACTGTGGCTTCCTTATTCTTGATACTTCAAGTACTGCTTCAACAGGCCTTCCAGGTCTCGAATCGGTAAGACATAATCTGTTTTTAGGTCTTCACCGCGAATCTGGCCGATATCCGATGCGTGTTGTTGAGTTTCTTTTTAATTTAGAAAAAAATAATGAAGAAACTCATCCCTGCAATCCTTATATAATATAAACAGTAAATAATAATCTTTTAATTTTATTGTCTACATTAGTTTCCTGTAATTCATCTGTATTAATTTGTAAGATACGACAGTGGATTATCTAAACTCTAAAATCTGGATTATTTGTTGTTGCTGATTCATTCCGTCTAGTGTTGTCTGTTGCTATTCAAGATTATTAAATTATGTAAGATGTAATTATATAACGAAGAGTCCAAAGTATTATTGAGCAAGCAGATAAGGAATCCTTTATTTGGATTGCCTGAAAAAAAACTTTTAAATGTTAAACACAATATTTTATTTTTGTTTAGTCATTGTATAGGATAAACAAAGATCAAATGGAAATATAATTTTTCTTGTCATTCTATAGGATAAACAATGATTAAACAAAACTATAATTTTTCATGTCATTGGATGACGATAGTCAGAGGGAAACAAAGAAACACAGAAGATCGAGCACAATCCTCTTTAAGTTGAAGATGCACAAATATAAAAAAAAAAATTCTTCCTACCTCCTCCCACAAAAAGAAAGAAATGATTAAATGAAAGTTCATGAATACAATTTTCATGAACAATAAATTTTATAAAATAAAATTTTATTTCGGAACATCGTGAAGGTCTCATGTGTAACGTGTAAGGTGACTCTTCCTCTCCTCGCGTTGAAAATATTTCCTATGACACTTTTTATCATCAAACCTATCGCATCATGGCACCCTAATTTTTATTAATTAGGAATTGTTGAAAAGTAAAATAGAGGATCAGAAAAAACAAACCAAGGAACATACATCTACAGTCATCTACAATTCAAAGCCGCGGTCCATTCTCAGTAAACAAGATCTTGTATTTCAGAACTCTATACTCCTTTTCCCACAGAATTGAAACCTTCTAACGTTCCTTTCTTGCCCGACCTACTGCTCTTTAAAATTCTTACCATCTAATATACGCCATGTTCCTTCCCTTTCATCATTGGAATCTCTCATTTTACATTTCTTTTTTAACATCCCAAAAAGAAGCTCTCCAGTTTAAAAACTTCAAACTAAGAATAAATTACTGATTTGAAGTTAGTAGTTCTTAGTTTTAATTTTGGAATTAATTGAAAGTTTTATTTTTTACTTTCACTTACGTATATATGTAATATATAGTAAGGGTAAGTATTGCGATCGAGAAAATTTTTGAATCTGAGTTTTCAACGGAAATACACGTTTTGAGGTACCCTGAGTCGAAATGAACAAGTCCCGAAAAATGGTCTGTGTGTCTGTGTGTTTTTATGTTAGCAATCTAGCTCAAAAACGAAAAGTCCTACGAAACTGATATTACGTATTTACGATAGGTGTATATATATATATATATATATATATATATATATATATATATATATATATATATATATATATATATATATATATATATGCCTTAGATGTGACGGCAACTGTTTCCTTAAAATCGGCTAACCGGAAGTGCCACTTTATATCAACACTGAAACACATTTTCACAATTTTCTCAAAAACGGCTCTAACGATTTTGATTAAACTCGGTGTATCATTGTATAATTAAATGGTTTTTAATATTAGGTCTTATTCGCATTTATTCTCAGTTCTGCATTTCAACACTGCAATCACTACCTCCGGAATCAACTTACTCATATATAGATAACTTTTTCAACTAAAAATATCACTAAAATGACACCACTCAAAAATGTTGAAATTGGAGTTAGCCATTCTGAGGTTTATAAAAGCAAAGAAAGTTGTGCGGTTTATAAAAGCAGATGGAGTGACTAGATTTTATTGCCTGTCGTCGATATATTAATTAGACATTTTGTAATTATAGTGGTCTTAATGACTTGTTATCTGTAAGCTTTAAACTTTAGCTCCGTTTAAAATGCACTTCAAAAAAATTTATAATAGCCCTGCATTGCCAGAAAATAATTTCTATTCATAGTAGATCGGTAAGTGAAAGTTTTGTGTTGCGCGCACCAGATTTTTTCCTTTATTCTCTTTCTTTGTTTTATCTTTTTTTCTCAAGACAATTATTTTTGTCGTAGGGGTGTATTTTTTTTTGTGAGTGTGTATAAACTGTTTGGACTTTATTAATATTTTTGGCCAGTAATAATACTAATTTTATTTTTTATTTAAACATTTTTGTTATTACTAAGGAATCAAAATAAATAAACAAATTAGTCGGTGGCGAGTATAGGCACGCGCAGAGCAGATATTTGGCTGAGGCGGAAAAAATTGAATGAAATTGTATTTTTAGAAACAAAAAAATTTTTTAATATAAAAAACAGCTCATATATAGAAACATAATATAACAATATAAGAATTATCTTTACTTAGTTTCTTGCTGTAGCATCGATTGTTATTGGAGATAGGAGTGACTAAAAGGAGTAGAATTATCTGTCATGTCTGTGGGTGAAATAAAAAAGGTTAAAACACATCTGTTCCTCATTGAAGTAACAATTACGGTTATGGTGTTTTTAATTTTCCATCGCTACTACTGGTGCTGGTAATGGTGGGGAGAAGTAATCCGGCAAGTTGGGCACACGTTGCTTTTTGCCAACCTTTGATGGCTATTTTGAAGTTGCCGCCGCGTAATCACCAGAGTGGGAATGTCAAGATTCATTTCTCGGAACCGTCGGGAATGAAAATTAACTAACCTAGGTGGGAATCGAACGTACTTGGTTCAGAACCGTGTACTCTATAACTCACGCCCTAACTTACTCGACCACCCCATCTCTACCGCTAAGTGAGAAAAGCAATGTAAGCAATTTTTATAATCTGTTTTCAACGGGTCTTTGCATTTCAGAGTCAACTTGACCCAAAAAGTGCATTTTGTTTAATTATTGGTCTGTGCCATGATAATAATTTAAGATATCAAACTTAAAAGTCTACCCAGCCGTTTGCTCCAAAAATTTTGTTTATTTCGGCTTATTGATCAGACACACTTTGTTCAATCATGAGCCTGTGTTTTTAGCTTAATTTATTTCAAAACACTCAGGGGATCTCAGTGAACATTGATTGCCATCAAACTTAAAAATCGATCCTGTAAATACCATTTAAAAATCGTCACATAGCTTTTTACAAATTGATCAAGTACATTTGATTTAATAACGGATTATTATTTTTAACTCAAACTCATAACCCTCATGGCGCTTCGCTTATTGTTAGTCGAATAATAAGTGACAAAGTAGCTTCAATAATGTGATGAAACTTCGTTATAGTCTTCTCCTTAGTGCCTTTTAATGTTTCATATTTGAGAAAATACGGGTTGAAAGCACTAGCGGATCCAGGATTTAATTTTGGGGGGGGGCTTCAGCCCGAAACCTTTTTTTTTTCATAAAAATAACGATAATTACTTTGGAAAAACAGAAAGAAACTAACTACCTATGTGAAATGGTGTTTAAGTTATTCCTTAAGTACTTTTAAATGTAATTACACTAACAATAATACTTTAAGAGATATTTTTTAATATTTTTTCCATAAAACATGGTTATATTTTTCCATTTTGGGGGGGAGGGCTTCAGCCCGAAAGTCCCCCCGTAGATCCGCCCGTGGTTGAAAGTAAAGAACAATAGTTTTTTTTTCATTTTATTTATTGAAATTTACAGAGAGAAATACTTTATTGAAAGTAGTGCTTCCCTACTATATAGGGTTGATTAATACAAAGCATACTGATCAATCCATATGGAAATGGCTCTTACATTATATTATTACATTATTATATAAACTTATATTGTATTTTATAATATTTAATATATATATAAAACGATAATTACTTATGAAAAGAAAGAAACTGAATACCTATATGAAATGGTGTTCAGGTGACTCTTGAAGTCCTATTAAATGTAATTACACGAGAAATAATGCCATTAGAAATAAATTTTTTTTTCATTAGACAGGTTTATATTTTATCATTTTTTTTGTGTGAGGGGGAGAAGGGAGAGAGCTTTACCCCGATAAGTCCCCATCCCCTGCAGATCCACCTGTGCCCACAGCATTTATATATGATGGGTTACTAATACTATTTTATAGCAACTATTCTAGTTACTTGTATGTAATTATTACTTAAAATGCACAATTGCCAAATAATTAAATAAATTGTGAATGATTGGAAAAGGTGTTTGAATATTGATTTATATTACCTTTTTTTTATTAATGACAACATAAAAGAAATATATAAATAAATAAAAACAATTACAAAACTATTGTATTGATGTGCAATAAATAAAAGTGAGTTACAATAAAGAAGAGACATTTGCAGATACTGTTGCATCTGTGGCAGTGATATTGAATGCGTAGGTGCCATTCTTCTCAAGTTCTTCCTCAAAGAGAGTCCAATCATTTTCATCGATAGAGATCTCTGTTTTAAACAAATAATTATTAAAACTCATGATAAAAGAAGTATAAATGAAATAATAATATTACAGAATTATTATTCACTTTTTCCAAGTGAAGTGGCCTAACTACGCAATTTGGTAACGTGGCGGATTCAGGTAGGAGACCTAAAAGAAGGTTTCAACTCAGAATTGATCGAAAGTCAAATGAGACTCTTTACTTGGACTAAATGAGAAGTACACTGGCCTTAATGGGCCCAGTAAGGCCAGAATCTCCTTATGATTCCTATATACTCAGCAACAATGATTATCTACAAAAGAGTAGTTTTAGGTATCCTGAGGCATGTTCCAGGGCACATACCAAAACATCTCACGCAAACATGGCCTAATGAATTGCGCATTACGTTTTGTTTTCTGGAATCTCAAGAGATACGCATATTACCCAGTATTACACTAAGTTAAGTGGCTATATCCATCCTATTGCCGTCAGTACTTCCTAGCCACCTTTTTGTACCACACCATTAGAACTCATTGACCCTCCTATATTTTTCACATCTTACAATTTAAATACTCCATCCAATCCCGTCCCACTAGATCTTGTACTTTTGACCTCTATCCTCCTCCTCACCGAACTGCTGCGTTAAACAAATCATTTGCAATCCAAACTGCCTCTCTCTGGAATTCCATCCCTGCTGATATTCGACACACATAATCAGTTTCCTCTTTCAAACCTCTCCTCTTTAAACACCTACTCCTCAACCCGACTGATTATGAAATATATCTAAGAGAGCTACGAAGTACCCACAGAAACTATTTCTGTTCTTTTAGTTTCCTTTGACCGTCTCATATATATGTACGCTTTTCTGGTCTTTTTCTGTATTTTTACTTTTAATTAACTAATATTTTAAATATTTAATTTATTTATGACCACACATTCATGTATTCTGTACTTATAATTTGTTCTAAAGGAACAATAGTCCCAGAATAATAAAATATATTTTCATTTCATTTCAACAGAAGGGTATAGTGGCGTCGATTCAGAAACTGGCTTTGCTTATTACTATTACATGTTTTAGAGAGATGCATCTACCAGAGCACGTAAGAGTACGGAATGATAAAGACCAAAGAAGATAAAAGAGGATTCTGAAAGGATACTTTTGAGGAATGGAACCGGCGAGGGTTCTGCCTGGAGCCGGAACTACGCACAGAAAGAAGGTTGACAACGATTCTGCGAATGGCTCTGCTTTGAGTTACGGATCATGCAGGACGGTGTCTTATAAGTCAGAACAGTTTCTAGCTACAAGATTAAGAGAGAATGCTCAAGCATTAGCTTAAAGTAGCTGGGAGATGGAAGAAGAGATGGTCCCAAGAATTGGAAGAGGATTTCTTCAGGAGGATACAGTAGAATAGTGGAAGCGGCTGTCGTTGGTGAATCCAAAAGCGTCTTTCCTGAGAAAGTACTACTAGAAGTGACTTAGTTTTTCCCAGACTACTATGTTTCACAGATTCTCATGGAGCATGTGGCCAACAAACACCCCTAGGCCTAATATAGAGGCTTGAAGATCTCGAATACGCCGACGATCTATGTCTTCTTCCATAGCAGTTCGGTGATCAGGACAAGATGTATTAAGCTAAATTTCAAATCGAGTTGGACCGTGAAATAACTTCGATAAAACAAAGGAAAAGCGAGTAAATGAGCTATGTTGGAATCCAGTTGTTCTGATGGAAAGCATCGTAGAGCGGGTGGAATCATCTACTCGGGAAGAATGATCACTAAAGAAAGGCTCGACTTAAGATATTAAAAACGGAATCAAAAAAAGTAATGGGGTGTTTGTTTAACTCTATTCAATATGAAAGAACTGTTTAATTAAACAAAAATAAAGTTGTTTTAAATCCCTCTTGCTCTACGGAAGTGAAACATGGATGGTGACCGAAAGCGTCCCTTTCAGACCTTCATCAACTGTTGCTAGGGAGGAACTCTAACGAAGCCCTCTGAAGTACTATTCAACAGCTTCCTATCCATCTCGAAATAAGGAAAAAGAAGTGGAAATAGATTGGACATATTTAAGGAAAGCTGATAGTGCGATCGAAATAGAAACTCTTCAATGGAATCCAAAAGGAATAAAAAGAAGAAGACCAAGAGAAACATGGTGGAGATATGTTGCTGGCAAGACTTGACCAGAAGCAAAAATGATTGCTGCAAAAAGAGCAGAATGTTACGCAGTAGTATGTTAGTTATCCTATGCTCAACCAGAAGTCAACGGTTATAATAATAAATAAAAATGGAGTTAACCAGCTACCATTATTATTTAAATAAAATATGATGACGCATTCATTACCTGGCTTAGAATAGATTTCATTGCGAAGAGATTCACACTTGTTCACTGAGATCTCCACATTGTCCAGTGAAGCAGAGCTTCCATCACCTGTAGGAGTCATTTCGAATACCAGCTGAAAACGGAAATAACTATTATTAGCCTCTTTAAAATATCTTCAATATTTATACTGTTTGCAGAGTGATTATTTATTCTTTCTTTTTTGGACATTCATATCATTAAAATATTTTAAAGATATTTAGACACAGTATAACAGAATGAACTCTGATAAAAAATAATTCCATAATAAAGAATTTTAAATTTTATAATAAATTCAATTTATAACAGCCATTTTATAACTTCTCGGAAGAATCAATCTCTAGGACTAGTAGTTTTTGGAATTATTGATGTTTTATTATCCATGTTTCGGCATTGTATAGAACTGTTCCTATTAAAAGGAATTAATGGTATATATATATATATATTTTTTTTTTTTTTTTAAAGGAAATATTCGTATTCCAAAGGACGAACTAAGGATGTCATCAATAATGTTCCTTCCTCGAGATATATTTGATGAAATATCTGTATCCACACTCATAAATACCATATTTTACCTAGGAGTAACCTTTGACCAGAACCTCTCCTGGGATAATCATATCTCCCAGATTACCCGAAAATCCATAACTGCCCTTAAACAACTCCTAAGATTCCGTGATTGTATTCCTCTAAAAACGAGACAGCTCCTTGTAACCTCCCTTGTATTCCCCCACTTCGACTACGGCTGCTTGGTGTATGGAGAGCTATCTGCCAGGCTGGAAATGAGACTAAAAAGACTCATGAATTGTTTCATAAGATTCATTTTCGGAATCCCTAGGCGTTCACATGTTTCATTATGGTACACCGCGTTGAAGTGGCTTTTTCCTACTTCCCAACGACAATTCCTTCTTGGCGTTTTCCTTTTCCAAGTCTTCAGAACCAAAAACCCTCCCTACATCCTGGAACTCCTTACTCTGAGCTCCTCTATCCACTCTCTCAATACTAGGTCTCCACCTATAGACTTATATATTCCCTCCCATAAAGCTTCCTCCTTCAGCAAATCCTTCGTCATTCGTGCTGCTTCCTTATGGAACTCACTTCTTACCTGCATGTGTCAATCCTCATCCACAAATTCCTTCCAACAACTCCTGTTCCAACACCTACTCCACATTCAAAGTTCCCCTAACATGTAAAATTACTTGCATCTATACAATGTTTAATTTCAATCCATTGCACAATTGAAATAACAATTAACAATAAATTAGTTGGTATTTTTACTATGTCAGACTAAGATACATAAATTTGTAACTCTGTTATTATTCTTAGGGGACAGTAGTCCCAGAATAAAATTATTATTTTTTCATTTTCATTTCATTCAATTTTGTGCTTGGGGGAGACATGCAAATTTTATTTACGGGGATGTGCTTGATAAGTTGAGGAGCACATGTTCTGTGTTTCTTTTGTTTTGCTTTTCGGTTTATCACCCGACACCATTTATAATATTCATCTATAAGTTTTTTCAACAAGTAACTGACCAATATACTATGCTGTTTATTCGCACTGACCAACTAGTAAAATATAATGAAGAAAGTATAAGGATGTAAACTAATTAAAAAAATACCATATTATATAAAAAGGCTTTAGCATAAGCATAACTATAAAAAGAATTTGCAAATCTTAGAAGCATTAAGCATTAACATTTCATGATAATAATATTTTTTCTAAATGTAATTATGAATGTAAATTACAGATTCAGCTTACCCTGTATGGTTTGCCCAGATTGATGTTCATCTGGACCCTGTACCACTTCCCGGTGTTGCCCGATCGCCACAGCTTCACTGTCGTACCGTCACCGAGTTCTGTCGCCGAGGATAGCACTTCTTGATTTAACTGTATTAATTCAACACAATAATACTTATATATTAATTAGTTATTATTATTTATTATTTAAAAACCAAAACAATAAAATACACCAAGACAGTACAAGCACAACAAATTTGCTAGATGAGCAGCCGCGCAGGTGCAAATTGCATAAAATATAAATAAATAAAAAAAATAAATAAAAAGTTCTTGAAGAGAAAGTCTTGCTAATAAGTGCATCCTAGGGTGTCCAAAAAGGAGTATCATGCATGGCACAAGTTGCGACATCAAAATTTCTGAGGAGGGCCTATTTTGGCGGTATAGTGAATTTTTGAGGGGGGAGGGCACATTTCAGCGGGGTTATGAATTTTTGGAATGAAATATTTCATACTATGGAACAAGGAGAAAATATGGTACAGACCGCAGCAAGTGTAATTGTATATTATTACAATTTTTCTAATTCTACCTTCTTTTGTTCTGAATTAAACAAATTAAATATGTTGGGATCTACGGGGGAACATTGGAGCTGAAGCCCCCCAAAATGGTAAAATACAACCATGTTTTATGGGGAAAAAAAATCTCTTAAAGTATTATTGTTCGTGTAATTACATTTAAAAGGACTTTAGGATCACTAAAACACCATTTCGTACAGGTAGTTAGTTTCTTTATTTTTTTCCAAAGTAATTATCGTTATTTTTATGAGAATAAAAAACTTTTGGGCTGAAGCCTCCTCCCACCAAAATTAAATCCTAAATTAAATCAGCTAGTGACATTGTGCACCTCTGTGTGCATTACAATCTTTAGTTTACTACACTAGCGGATCCAGGATTTAATTTTGGAGGGGGGGGGGGCTTCAGCCTGAAAGCTTTTTCTTCATAAAAATAACGATAATTACTTTGTAAAAAAAGAAAGAAACTAACTACCTATATGAAATGGTGTTTAAGTGATTCCTAAAGTCCTTTTAAATGTAATTATACGAACAATAATACTTTAAGAGATAATTTTTTAATATTTTTTTCCAAAAAACATGGTTATACTTTACCATTTGGGGGGGGGGGGAGGAGAGGGAAGCTTCAGCCCCAAAGCCCTTCCCCCCTGTAGATTAGTCCATTGTTTACCCATAAACTAAAATAATATTACTATGGATATTCATACAAAATTATTCAATTTCAATATTGAATATATTTAATTTGGATTAAAGCTACATAACTGGTTTAGAAGTAAAATACAATTTTTGGATATACATATTAGTTCGGAAATGAAGATTTTCTACAAATATTATTATGAATGAACATTATGAGTTGAAAGTAAAAAGATGTATAACAAAACTATAGTAAAATACTTGATGTGAAATTTATATAATCAATTGAAGTATAAATATAGATTAGTAATTAATTTTTTTTAAATATTATAATGTAGAAATAAGTCATAAAATCTGGACTAAAACTTGAATGAATGAATTGTGTCAATTTTAGAAACAGTTTATACCAATAATCATTGCATTAAAAAAAAAAGTAAACAAATTTATCTCCATCCCCACATATGTTATTACAGTAAGGCTCGAAATCGGTTTTGTACCAAATATAAGCTCCTGTCATGCTCAAATACCATGAATGGGGTTAGTTGAATTTCACGGGTAGTTAGCGAATCGTATTCTCCACTTTTGTTTTTCTTTCTAAAATAAATAAATTCGATACAAACATTTTGCTAGGCTTCAATACAGGAACGGTAGTAAGTCTGTAGATCGATACAGGACAAATTGGGCTTTGAAGATTCTAATGCGTACAGCAAGACCCAGATAATTCCTTCGGGCCCTGCGTTTGTAAGCCCGAAAACGTACTATTTTTGAGATAACGCAAGGCATAGGGTTCGAATCCACACAACCTTACATTAATTGTAGTACTGTAATTCAATACATGTCTCATTTCGTCGACTTGAGGTCTCTATGATCGAGTTTATATTATTTATCGATAGTATTTTTGATCGGCAAGCCATATCATCATCGTTAATTCTTCATCAAATCTCAAGATTGAGCAACCAATTTCGAAGGCTTCCTTCTCCTTCAGGAGGGTAAAATAGTCCACTCATCCCGAAAAATCAGGCAAACAAGTTATGAAAGAAAACAAACTTTATTTGCGAATAACTAAAAAATTACACACTTTTTCCCTTTTATTATGCCCATGATTATATAAAAGATTACTAAATTCCCTACAAGATACAGCTAATTGAAATTTGTAAACATGTTGGTTCCAAACATTAATGAAGATTTAAATTAATTTTTGTTTCCTTTGTCGATTATATTTATCGATAAAGTAACAATTGATTTCTTTATCTTTTGATACGTTGCACTATTTTATTTTCTTATTAATTTGGCATTTGAAAACAATATGATGTGCGAATTTTTCTTACGGGCGTACTAGTAATATAAATTATTTAAAGAAATAAATTAAATTTTTGGGAGGATGACGTCATTGCCCGGAGGCGCCGAATGTTTAAGGCCGGCACTAAATGCACTTTCGGCAATTCATCTATTTATGCTATTATCTAATGAACAGAGAGACCAATAGTTTAATTTATTTATTTTTGTCTTAATCATGGTGAGTATAATAGTGGAAAAACATGTTCCTCGATTAAGCCGAAGTAGCTAAAACAATTTTGTTCATAGTCTTCTTCTTAGAGCACTTTAAGCAGGGTTATATTCAGGTTTTTATTTTTTCAATTTCTATTATTCAGCATTTATTAAAAAACATTTAAGTGACAACTACAGTTTCCTATTATTAATATATGCTGAGCGAATTTTTAGCACGGGCCTACTAGTCTACAAATAAACATTTAACCAAATTAAAATAAATAACAGATAGTTTTAAAGAAATTATCTACAACCATTTATTTGAATCCATATGAGTATTTTTTTGTTATCCGTGGTACAGGCCTCTTTCTATGAAATTAATGACATCCGACTGAAACTTCGTAAAGAGATTCATCTTATCGTAACTTACAAGTATTTCATTTATGAAACGTCTCGGAATTGGGGAATTTTCTATATGGAGGTCGTCGAACTTTGTTTATTTAATTACAGACTAAAAACTCGTAAATACTCATTTCTAAATACTACTTTCCGCATGAATCGTGAGACAATTTAATCATAAAATCGATAAAAAAAAAGGTGGCCTACAAAAATATCGGCCTATATTACATCGTTATTTTGACAATTTGGGGAGATGGGTCGCGCCAAACGGCTCAATATTTTTTTTCGACTTTGTGCTCAAATTATCAGACAGTTCAAGTAGAAAGCGAATAGGTATTCACGAGTTTTTAAAACCTAATTAAATAGACAAACTTTGCCGACCTCCATACTGAATACGCCCCAAATCCGAGACTTTTCGTAAATATTTTTAGGTTACGATGAGATGAAGCTATTTACGAAGTTTCGGACAGATGTTAATAATCTGAAAAGAAGGTGTCTGTAACACGGACTAAATCAGATAATTGTGGGAATAATGAATACACTTAAATTTACGGAAGCGAATGGAAATATTCTCACACAACCTTATTAATGAATACTTTTATTTATTAAAAAAAATATATTTATTAAATAATTTATTTAAAAAAAAATATGTTTACTATATATATCATTTTATTTTTATATGTAGTATTATATTCTTTCATTTACAATATGTTATGTTAATTATGTTAAAATGTACTATGTTTTGATAATTATCACTCGTTGTGTTTGTACGTAATATAAATTCCCGAGCCTTTGTATTTACACTTGTAAAATTGAATACGACAGTATTCACGTTTATTAAAATGAATATGTTTAAATTTAGAAATAGAAATAGAAAATAATTTTATTCTGGGACGAAGTCCCTTCAGAATAACAAAAAAGTACAGAAATTAAAATTTTACATCTGGCCAGATAAAAACAAACATAAAAAGTAAAGATAAAGATAAATCAGTAAAAAAAAAAGAAAAATATTAGTTATACATAATATATACAAAATCAAATCAAATAATCTATATACAAAACTCTCGAAACCATACTAAGATACTTAAAACTATGTACAATGGTAAAATATAAATAAACCCTTTTAGAAAAAATACAAAAAAAAAAAAAAAAAATGTAAATTCTTCTTAATAGTAAAATCTGTGTTTTGTTGAAAAAAAAAATATATGTAATTTTACATAAAAGGTTAGCTGGTATCTGACTGTTTTTGGAACATAAATTGAAATAGGAGGGTTTTGAATGTAGATAGGGATAAAGAATGTCGGATTTTGATAGAATTCCAAAAATTAACAGAGCAATAAAGGAGTTTTGGAACGAGGCAGACCTGTGAGAAGGAACGTAGAGGTCGGAAGGTCGAGATCTTGTGGAGAGGAAGTGGATTCAGGACTTGAATTGGAGAACATTGTAGGCGTAGGAAGGACGATGATTGTTGATGATATGATAGAGGAATGTACCTAGGAATAGGAATTTACAGAATTGAATGCAAATATTTTATTATTTATGTATAGTATTATATTCTTCGTTTTACAATATGTTATGTTGAGTTAATTATCACTCGTAATGTTCGTACGTAATATAGATTCCCAAGCCTTTGTTGTTGTTTTTTTTAAGGATCCATCGCCCCACCCTCTCCCGTATCAGAATAGAAAATCTGCATCCACGATCCTAGACGTACAGACTTTTCGGCGCACTGTTTACTTATGGGCTGCTAATGGCAATAAAGATAAGTTTAATGGACGGTCAGGGTAGGTACAACAGTCGGAACAATACTCTGGAAATCCCTAGGGGTAATACGCCATATGTTGAAGCAAGAGAGGGCTGTCAAATTTGGATAGTGATCTTTTCGGACCTACTGTTCAGTATGTAATAAAGTGTAATGTGTGATTATATTTATTAATATGCCAAGTTTTGCATGTAGAACAATATATGAAGTTGATAGCGAAACTTAATCTGTTTGTTTAGCAGGCTAGTGTAGTCTGGATGAGCCGGATTTTGATTTCCAAGACAGTACCAGCTCATTAAGAAATACCAATGTTCTCACCTCCTCTGAATTTTTATTGGAGAGAGGGATGGTGGCGATGCCCGAAGAAGATAATACTATATATAAAAATAAAATGGGATATACAGTAATTTTTTTTAAAATAAATAATTTAATAACTATATATAATATAAAATAAGGCTTTGTTTTTAATTCACCACGTTTATTCCACTTTTACGTCTACATCGGCTACGTTTCGGCTAGTAAGCCATTTTCAAACTATATCATTCTGTAATCCGCTAATGGTGCTTAAATGACTTATTATTTTTATATAAATACTTAACCTAAAACATATTAGCACACATGGATTTAATAAATATATATATTATTAAATAAATAAGAGTGTTCATTAATAAGGTTGTGTGAAAATATTTGCATTCACTTCATTTTAATAAACGTGAATACTGCCGTAATCACTTTTACAAGCATAAATACAAAGGCTCGGGAATTTATATTACGTACAAACACAACGAGTGATAATTAACATAACATAAAACATTGTAAACATAATTAACATAACATATTGTAAAAGGAAGCATATAATACTATATATTAAAATAAAATGATATATATAGTGAATATATCTTTTTTAAACATAATTTAATAAATATATTTTTTGAATAAATATGAGTATTCATTAATAAGGTTTATAAAATATTTCCATTCACTTCTGTAAATTTTAGCGCACTCATTTTAGTAAACGTGAATAATCCCGTATTCACTTTTGCTAGTGTAAATACAGCCGTGAATACGTATCATATGTATTTATATTTCTTTTTATGATAAATATATTCATATTTATATTCATTAGTACCATAAATATAAATGGTATTCGTATTTGAATTTTTAAATATAAATACGCCCATCTCTGGTATCTAATACATACAATCTTAACCATCCTTACTCCAATCTTAGGCCGATGAAAGTTTCTTTGATTACACTGTAAAATTTTAAAAACTAAAAAAAAAAACGAAATTCAGAAAATCACGCAAACACTAGGTTACTAAAATATTTATTGTATTGTATAGTTATTTTTTTTAGTAAACTCTTTTCACAACTGAGTTATCATACATATAACAAAGTTTTCATTTGTTATTTTCATCACCAGCCATTGAACGCAGGACTTGGTGAAGGTCTCAACAGCGGGGCACAGAAAGCGATTTCATGGGTTTCATCAAGATTTTTGAGAGGGTCATATTTTGACAGATTTTTGAATTTTTGAGGGGGGGCAAAGTTCGATGGGAATTTTCGGACCAAGGGACAAACGGAAAATATGGAAATATACAGCAGCAAGTGTGATTGTATATGATCTATGATTTTTCTAATTCTATCTTGCTTTATTTTTAAGAAAATGTGACTAATAAAATATCTTGGGAGGAGGAGAAAAGTATTTTTTTTTCCTTTTAGGGAGTTTTTGACCTTTTAGGGAAGGGGCACCCCTGGGTCTTAATGTGGACCAAAAAGCGGGGAAATCCCTACTCTGTCTTTAGCAAACATACGTCACGTACAGGTATATTAAGGCAAACGCGTTTTGGCAAAATTGTTGACAAGCTTCATGCAAACTAACCAACCCAGCAGTACGCAGTTGCTAAGCATTGGTATATGTGCTATGGATGACAGGATTATAATTGACGTGGGACTTACTGCTGCCCTCATGTATCTATATTCCAGATTGGAAATATTAGAAGAAAATAATAGAAGATTGGAAATATTAGAAGAAAATAATAGAAGATTGGAAATATTAGAAGAAAATAATAGAAGAATACAGAGAAGAAGGGTGATGAAAACTAATCAGAACTATACAAGGTAACTTTCAAATTTAAATTTGTTTCTTGTATTTATGTCAGTTATTTATTTATTCATTTTCTTGGACGTGTATTTATTAATGCAATGTAAATATGTTTTATTAATGTACGTTTGTTCCGTGTTTTACAAAACACACAGTATTTCCAAGACAATTGTAACCTTTTCCATTTCAAATGTAGCCCTGTCCAAATCAATTACAACAAACTCTTTTCAATTCAAATCTAAGCTTTAAAGGGTTACATTTGAAATGGAAAAAGGTTATGTATGATTTGGAAAATGTTACATTTGAATTCAAAAAATCTGGTGAGCGCAACACACAATTTTCACTTACCGCTATACTTTGAATAGAAATTATTATCTGCCAAAGTTGGGCTATTATAAATTTTTTAAAGTGCATTTTTAACGGAGTTTCAGCTTAAAGCCTACAGCTAACAAATCATTATTATAACCCATCCCTTATTAATTATATCAACGGTAGACAATAAAAATCTAGTCACTCCATCTGCTTTTATAAACCACACAACTTCGGTCTCTTTGCCTTTCAGTTGCATTCTGTCAACTAACTCCAATTTCAACATTTTTGAGTAATGTCATTTTAGTGATATTTATAGTTGAAAAAGTTATCTCTGCAGACAGTGAGTAAGTTGATTCCGGAGGTGGTGATTGCAGTGTTGAAATATAGAACTGTGAATAAAGGTATAAATTTTGCTACTAGAAACATTTGTAAAATTATTATTAAAGAATTTTGAAATTGGAAATAGTCATTCTTTCAACCGTAAGGCTCATATAAGCCTGCAGAAGTTTGAAAGTATATCTGAATATTTAACCTATAAATGATTACGGTCTGTAGAATTATTAGTTATTAAGCTGTCATTTTCCATCGTAAAGTTTACTAAAACGAAATTACGATATTTTCATTGCCTGTCATGGATAGATCAAAAGATGTCACAATCGTAAGTGGATAATGTCGGGATTTCACAAAGAGAAAATTCATCTAATTATTCAATAATTTAATTTTATAAAAGGTGACTTGATGATTTTTTTAATAAACGGCCGATAGATACCTAATTATTTAAATATAATATTTTATCTAGAGTTAATAGTATATAGCAAATATATTTGAGATTATAAGCATGTCTGTGAAGTATTTTTATATTTCACTTCTTCTTTCACCCAACTACAATGAAATAGTATTTTAAACAATGGCCATTGGCTTGATTCGGTGGATTTTGAATACTTTTTTTTCAACCTTAGAAAAATATTTTAAAAGTTTATATACTGTTAGAAAATGTCATTTAATTTTCTAGGAAACATGCAATTTACGTTAAATAATGTTAGTTTTCTGAAATTTTAATTTATTAAAGAACTATCTTAAATACGTAATATCAGTTTCGTACGACTTTTCGTTTTTGAGCTAGACTGCTAACATACAAACACACAGACCATTTTTCGGGACTTGTTCATTTCGACTCAGGGTACCTCAAAACATGTATTTCCGTTGAAAATTCAGATTAAAAAATTTTCTCTATAGCAATACTTACCTTTACTATATATTGCATATATACCAAAGTCAAAGTAAAAAGTTTGATTTGAAATGAAAATCGATTACGGTAATTAAGACGATTTTATAAACTTTATCCACGCTAAATTGCTAGAAATTCCATATTGACGTCTTTAAAAACAGTAAATAATTAATTTTCAAACCAGCGAACATTCTTGAAATATTAATGTTACGGCTTAGATCAAGGAATGCATTTAATTTTTACATTCACTTGCCTATATATGTAATATGTAGAAAAGGGAAAGTATTGCAATCGTGAAAATTTTCGAATCTGAGTTTTTAACAGAAATGCACGTTTTTGAGTCGAAATAACCAAGTTGATGTCTCTTTACTCGGCTTAAATGCTCAATGTTCATATGAAATTCTTAAGAGTTACAAAAAAATGCTGAATATAACTTATGAAAGAATGTGATATTTGAATAAAGGAAAAAAATAAAAAATAAAAATGCTTATCCAGGTCGAAAATGAATCTCCGGAAATACTAGTCATAAGGTATACGTATAATATATCTTTGGAAAGTGGAGAATTTTAGAAAAAAAAAAACAATATCTAATATTGAAAGTTGTAGAACGTAACGGAGAGTGGCGAAAAAATTATAAATAATAATCTCTTAAAACTAACATTATTTAACGTAATTTTCAAGAAAAATAAATGAAATTTACTAACTGAATGTAAATTTTAAACTTATTTTTAAGTTTGAAAAAAGTATTTAAAATCCACCTAATTAAGGCAATGACATTGTTTAAAAAAACTATTTCATTGTACTTGTGTGAAAGAAGAAGTCAAATATAAAATCATCTCATGGATGTAATAAAGCATATGTTTATAACCTTAAATACATTCACTGTAGTTTAATAATTCTAGATCTGATATTATATTTAAGTAATTAGGAATACAACCTCCGTTTATTCCGAAATATTTTCATGTAACATTTTAGAAAATTTAATTAGTTAATAATTTGATTAATTTTATCTTTGTGAAATCCCAACATTATAATGCCTTCCCAAGGTCAATAAAACTACCATGTTCGCTCACTCAGAGGAAAAATAGTGGGGTGGAATCGAGCTCTGACGTAGCCGATAGACTGATTTTACTCCTCCGGACTTTGTTTCTGGACATTTTAAGATTATTATTTACTTTTCTACATTAAATCAATGCTATATTGCTTAATAATTTATTAATTATAATAAATTTGAAAGTTGAGAGAAAGGTTGATTTGATATTTGGTTTATTCTAAAGCAAATAAAATGTAATTTAACAAGTTGATGTATGATTGTTTGCAAAATAACACAATAATATTTTTTAAATATTTCAAATAAATACAGAGCATAATATAAAATAATAGAAATATTAAAAAAATAAAAGGTATTTAATCTCAAATTAAAGAAGCGTTTTCTTTCCGTGAATTTTTGTAAATATACATTTTTATGTCATAAGTAATCCTACGTAGTGATTTTTTTTCTCAATTTTTTTTTTTGCCTTTGATTTTATGATTTCTTAATTGTTGTAAAAATCTTTGTGTAAAAGAAAGCCTTTACCAGTTCTTCATTAATTTCTACATTTTCCTAAGAAAAAGATTATTACATGTTTTTACAATATTTGTTTTTTTTTACATTTACATTTTAAAATCTAATCTTTGTATGTATGTCTAGAAATGTATGAAATGAAATTTTCTTTCCCATCTTCTTTGCGTCATTAGATTATTGTTGCAAGTTGCAACTGCCCATCTTGTACCTGGCATTCTACAAGATTCTATTAATAATTATGTTATTATGAGAAATACAAGAAATACTAGTAAGAACAAACGAATTCTCTGTAACATGTTATTAAAAATAAAAAATAAATACTCGTTATAATATTATTTTAGAGACGGAAAAGTAGTTGACTGTTAAGATTATAAGGTGAAAATAAATTATCAGGTAATTTAACATATGTCTATTTTAGGCCATAGGTCACCAAAAAAACACAGTTTTTTTATTTATTTCCTGTATGTTTATTCAACGTTTCGGCTTCAGGAGCCATTTTCAAGAACCTGCAAAAACTAAAATTTTAATTTATTTTTTACCATTCAAGTATAGCCTCAGACAATAAACTTGTATCATCCACCTACCATGCACCGCACCATAAAATTTTTTTTTAAATTTGACAATCATTACGATATGATTCGTCCTAATTCATTCTTTTATTTCAAAGAATGTAGTTTTCCGTTTCTAAAAATTATAATATATAATTAATAAATTAAAAATAGACTGCTATAATTAATTTAAAATTTTTTTAATTTTCGATTTATATACCTCTATTTGCAGACGGTATCAAAAAAGTATTGTTCTTCAATAGGACATTCATACAGGACTGGATTTACTTACATAAGGAGTGGGGTGTAGGGGTTAGTGATCTGCTGTTTTATATCAGTATGTTATATATTAATTTTGTCAATTGTGCTAGCATAAAACGTGTTTAAATTATCAACATCTGTCTGTTGATTCACTGAATGTTTAAGATTTTTAGTGATAAAAATGGATTCAATGATTCTACGTTTCCCAATATTTTGTTCTCTATGCAACACGGAAGCAGTACCGAAATCAAATTTATGTCCATTTTTTGTGGTATGCTGCGATAATCCTGTGGCTAATTTTGATTTTGTCGTTTTAGACCTGCAATTTTTGTCTATGTTGCTGTATCCTACGTTCAAACCATTGTGAGGTTTGTCCGTAATATGCTTTATTTTCACAATCCTCGCATCATATTTTATAAACAATATTAGTTAGTTTTTCTTTTGGAATAATATCCTTAGTTCTACTATATAATTTATCTAATTTATTAATAGGTTTTTTTCCCAAATCTGATTTCATTTATATCATATTTTTTAAAAGTTTTTTTCAATTTTATCAGTTAAACCTCTAATATAAGTGACCGAAAAGTATTTTTTGGGGTTGGGGTCTGCGTTAATATTCTTATTTTTCTCATTCTGAAATTGTAGATCAGGATTTTCTTTGTTATGCTTATGTTTTTCAGTATTATCTACTTTAAAATAGTTTGTGATTAGATTAGACTAAAATAGACATATGTTAAATTATGAGAAAATGGCACCAAACCCGAAGGATGTGACTAGAAAATTATTAGGATTCGCAATAAAAATTTGTTTATTTTTTAAAATTAAATTTGATTATTTAAAGAAATTTTGTCTGCAAATCCTGACAAAGATCTTCACCCTTATAATATTATTATAATATCGTTATAATATTAAAAGAAATACCCACGAGATCTACAAACAAAATTACACAACATTGTGCTAAAATGTTCTCTAAATAAATATAAATCTTAGTTTTTTCTAATTAGGTAATATATTTGTATATCATTTACAGAGATTTTGAAATAAAGAATTTAAAAATAATCTTGGTATCAAATTCGTTCTTTTCATTTCAATTCTGGCCTGTAATTTTCATAGCATTTTATCCTAGATTGATAGCCGTATTTATTTATTTATCTACTTGAAATTATCTTCAATCAAACGTTAAAAACACAGAAAAATATTCTTCTCAATAAATTAAACAAGAAAAAAAAAAACAACAACACAATAATGGTGAAATAAGCCTTCATTGATATGCTTGAAAGAGTAGGTCTGCCAGTCTATTCCTTACCTCACGTTTCAAGTTCCCCCACCACGCATTTCTGAGTGAGCGAACCTCGTAATTTTATTGACCTAGATGTCTTCCTTTAAAGTACCTTTAATTTGGTTTATTATAAATAATAAGTATTTATCATAGTTAGTATATAAGGAAAATTCTAAATATACTTTTGAAAGAATACTTATCCATGTTGAAAATGAATATCCGAAAATAATAGTCTGAAGGTATCCGTGTAATATATCGTCGGAAAGCGGAGAATTAAAAAAAAACAACAATATTTAATATAGAAAGTTGTAGAAGGTAACCAACCGAAAGTGACAAAAAAAATATAAATAATAATTTATAAAAACTAACATTATTTAACGTAAATCACCTGTTTTCAAGGAAATTAAATAAAATTTCTTACTGAATGTAAACTTTTTAGAAAATTAAATTAATGCATAATTTGATGAATTTTCCCTTTGGGATGAATTGCCTCCCTTCCCCTACAGTATCCACTTAAAATTAGTGTGACAACTTTTGACCTGTCTATGACAGACAATGCAAATCTCTTAATTTCGTTTTAGTAAACTTTGCAATGTAAAATAACAGTTTAATAACTAATAGTTCTACAATCCGTAAACAACGGATCATACAATCCATAATGAACCGGTGATATATTAAATAGGACTTATGCTGTTTTAATGGTATTTTAGATTTGTTAGTTGTAATATTTTAAATTTAGCTCGGTTAAAAATGCAAATCAAAAATTTTATGATTGTCCAACATGGCCAGAAAATAATTTCTATTCAAAGCTGAGTGGTAAGTGAAAGTTGTGTGTTGAGTGCACCAAATTTGTTGTTTTTTTTTCATTTATGATGTTCTTTGAGCTGTTGTCAGATGAATTATTACAATGTCATATTAGCAATTAAATAATCACCTGATGAATGGTTGGTCCAATCTTGTCTAACATTGTTAATTGTTATTTGAAATACTATTTTAGTATTTTAAAATAATTTAATTTTGCCATACTATAGTATATTAGTTCTTCATTAATTAATTGTTTTTAATTCAAATAGTTAATTGAGTGTATAGTTTATTCATTTCTATAAAATGTTTAACATAGCTAGAACAACAAAGAGGAAATAAATGACATTAGGTGTTAATTATTTAGCATTAAATTGATTCATGATAGTTAATTACTGGTTAATTGATTGTTTCCAATATCTCTCCTAGTCTACGATAAAATCATTTATGTATAGTTTTCGACATAGTAAAATGAATGCAACAAACTACACAGGTTGGATTGAATATATCTTAGCCATTGTGGCTTATCATTTGTTTCAGTTATAGCCCCATTTAATCTCTTTACTAATAAGAAATTATCTCTATTCTTCTGTCCATGAATTTGATTCAATTGTTTCCTATTTCACTTGGTTAGTTTTTGGTTTATTATTTTCAATAATCAACCATTGTGAACGACCAAAAAATTCAAAAAACTTAACCCCCTCTCATTTTTGTCGATATTGTATATGGTTTTTTAAAAGTTTACAGAACTTCCTAAAAAATTTAAAAAAAATTCGTTAAAATTGGACAATTAGGAGCAAAGATATGGTCTCTAGTTTTTTTTTTAGATATTCTTCTGCAAAGGTTATATATATATATATCTTTTGTTTTGGTTTTTAAATTTTGATTGTGTTATTGAAGTAATGCTATTTTTTTTTTTTTTTTAGCATTTATTACCAATGATTAAAAAAAAAAAGTTTAGTCCAATAATTGGAATCACCTTTTATTTATTTTTCTTTGTAACTATGAAGGTAATGTTACTTTAGATGTATAATTGTCAGGAAATAATAAACCATTGTGAAATCATTTGCAGCATTCTTTCCCTTGACTTCTTCATTATTTCATTGTCAATATAAATGCTATATATACAAATAGTGTACCTATAACCAAACATCATCTAATTCCAGGAGGCCTCTACCAAAAAAGAAAATGAATTCAACGAGAGAAGACATGAGGCCAACAAAAAATAAACTAGAAGAAGAACGTTTGGAGCTAGCTAATAAAAGATTGTGCCATAACTATGGGGTTCTTTTGGATCAAAGGTTAAATCTATTGCCTCTTCCTGAGAGGCATATGTATATGAAAGAAATTACGGAGATTATTTTAAAATACGAGCGAAAAGTGTCTAATAAATCCAATCAATGTTCTAGTCCCGTCCCCTCTAGTTCCAATAATTTAAATATATGAAATGCACTGTAAAAACTGTGCCTTTTCATAATAAGACTGCTTAATAATAAAACTTTTTTAATGGTATTAGAAGAAGTTAAAGATTAATCAATGAATGTTTTCACAAACATGTAATGTTTCTATCGATTATTATTCCGTTTCTTCCGATGCATTTAAAAAGTCTTTATCAATAATTTTTGGCTTATTGGGCAATATTACTTTATTGGGAAGCTCAGTTTGTATTGTATATGTTGTTGGTTCGCTAGTAAGTATGTTTAAAGATGTTAATTAGGAATTGTTAACTATTTGTCATTTGTGAACTGTAACCTATTTGTTTGTACATTAATCTAATATTTCTTTTGGAATAATATTCTTTATTTGTATCTTACCCATATTAAAGTATATAGATAAATATTTATATCAATAATATAAGTATTAAATTTAATTTTCTAATTGTAAATATATCATTTATATAGAATAAATCATGTATTTTCCTGAAGCTTTTTAAATTTATTCCGCAACCATATAATGTATTTGATTATTTATTCAATCTTTTTAAGTCAAGGGAGAAAGGGGGCTTCAGCCTGAAAGCCTTCCCCCCTTGTCTCTTAAATCAGCTTGTGCTACCCACTATGTGTTTAAAATTTCCTCACTAAGACTTTACTGTTGTTTTAGTCAATAATTTTTAACAGCTAAAATTGTTGTAAGCTATTTTAAATATCTCCAAAAGGAGAAAAATCTTTTTTGACTTTAAAATGTCAAATTTTTTAGAAAATACTGTCTTATTAACACTCAAGAAGAAAGTGGTCGAGGAATCCTTCAGAAAAAGCAAGTAATTGCTTCTTATTTATTCAATACCAACTATTTATTAAAAGAATTATCATCAAGTAATCAGCGATTTATAAAAAAAAAATTTCTTAAATGATATAGTGAGTTATTTGTGAATAAACTATTTTGTCTTTTTATGTAGTTAAAATTTCAAGAGTTGTTGGGTTTTGTTTGAACCGAAAATATAAAAAAAAAAAAACAAGAATCTACAGAGTTTAATAATATCCATCGTGAAATGTATATTAGGTTGACACATCTGTACGAAATGGGCTCTCAAAAAGGAAATGGGTATTTAAAAAAGTAATTAATAGCTGTATTCAAATCTAAATATAGAAGGAGAGCATAGGTTAAAAATCTGGTATGCGCGCATCACATAATTTTCATTTACTAACCTTACCTTACCTTTGTAAATAATAATTAATAACAATAATTTTGTCTAAGTGGTTTAATGTATATCGAATTAAAAAAAAATATTTTTAGTTAAATTTTCTTTTCTTAGCTTAGAAAATAATTCATTTAGTATTTGTTTTAAATTTTAGTAACTCTTTAAGTAAATGTTTTATCTTAACTTTTACAGTTTGAAATCGGTTCTCAAATCTGTATGCGTTTTAAAATTATTGGAGAATGTAAGACTAAACCTTCCACTATCCTCTCCCCACGCATCTTCCAACTTGCATCCTCCAACTAGCTTGAAAATGTAATAAATTTGGATTAATTTTAAAGATTAAATAAATAGTGAAATAAAAGAATAATAAAATAAAAACATAATTCAAACCTATGTAATTTTTTTTTGAAATAATAATTTTCAGAGAATAATGTGCTTAAAACACAGAAATGTTAGAATTTTAAAATAAGGATTTATCTTCAACAGAGAATGTCGATTTTTAAAAACAAAATAATATTTATGCTTAATCCTTTAATTTCATTTTTTGTCAATATTATAAACTTATATATTTAAACATTTATTAAGCCAGATTTTGTTTAAATATTTCTAATCTTCAATATTTTCGCTCAATAATGTTAACTTGAATTATTAAATCTATTTTTATTCAGATTTTTTTTTTAATTTAAAACATAATGCAGTCTTAATAACGAAACCACATAAAGCTATTGAATTAATTTTTGTTTCATTCGATACAGAATCAGTTTTTTCTATATGCGGACGATATTGTCCTGATTGCTGATTCTGTGGAGAAATTACAGCAGGCAGTTGACGAATGGAACGAGGAGCTCCTCAGGAAGGGTATGGTCATCAGTACAGAAAATAGCAAGATTCTACAGGTTGGAAGGGTGCAGGAAGATGTTACAATGTATTGCAACGGAGAGGTGATGGAAGTTGTGGCAGATTTCACCTACCTTGGTTCTGTTATGGATCGGTCTGGGAAAGTGGATTCAGAAATTCTCCACAGGATAAGCAAAGCAAACGCTATATATTACCAGATCTGCAATACTGTGATAGGAAAGAGAGAAGTGAGCGAAGGTGTAAAACTGCACATATTTAAGGCAGTATACTTGCCTATACCCCTATATGGTGCAGAAAGCTGGATGCTGACTGACAAACTCGAGAGAAAAATCACTGCTGCAGAAATAAGGTTTCTCCGAAGGATCGCAGGAAAAACGAGACGGGACTGCATACACAAAGATAGAATCAGGGAGGAAGTGGGGGTTCCCCCGATGAAGGATGTCCTAAAGACTCGGCAACTTAAGTGGTTTGGGCATGTCATCAGGACGGAAGAACACAGAGATCCATTAAAGTCTATGGACTCAATGGCAGAAGACCCCGCGGCAGACCGAGAATGTCGTACCTCGAATACGTAGATCGCCTGTGCAAAAATAGAAATAAAAATATACGAATAGTCAGAAATATTGCAAGAAACAGGGAAAATTGGCAATCCTGGTTAGACGCTCCCCTACGCTGAAAGGCACTACAGGGTGATGCAAAAGAAGAAGAAGATACAGAATAAAAAAATCTGGTAAGAATAAGTCTTATCAAACATTTGAGATGAATCTAAAGGTTCCACTAAATGACATGTAATTTTAAAACCTCCATCTATCCACTTCAATGATCTTCAAGACTACACTGAACTTGTGACATTTCTCCAAGAGGTGTAACTTGCCTATTCCGAAAATGAGCACTTAAAAAGATTAACAGTATCTAACTTTTAGGTGTTCTAAAATCAAATAAGTATAAGACTGTAACCTCTATTTATAAATTATAATATAATCGATTACATATGTTAATTAGATAAAGACAAGACAGATGGTGCATTTTGTAATAAATGATAAAGCACACCTACGTTTGTTCTAAAAGTATTTTTATTAATTAATCATACATAGTACAGGTTAGAATCAATTTCGATCAGATTTTCTAAAATCAGATTCCCGAAATCACGGATCGCCTCTTCGAACAGTCCTTACACGAGTACAATCTAGGCTAATCGTTATTTAAGACAAGAATTGTTTGATATTTTTTTGTTCAAGAAACAAATAAATCATTAGACATTTAGTTATCTTTATTTAAAACTCAAATATACACAACTAAACAGTTTAAAAAAAATAAATCAGTCAGTGATAATTGCTCCTATACTAGATGTTTCTATTTCGATAAAGGAAACTGTAACAGGTAAGACACTTACCGCTGCCTCTAAGTAAAGTTGTGAACGGACACGGATACGAAAACGTTCCTTTTCTTCGGACCGTCGCTTATTCAAATACCATGCAGCAGTGCCAGTGGCAATGGCAAGGGTGGCAAAAAGAAACCCTTTGTTGAACATTTTACGTCTGCTCAATCCAAATTACAAAAGAGAATATTTTATTTTTATTTTCAATCTATGGAAACGTGAAAACACTTATTCAACAATTAACTTAAAAATATTTAAAAAATAAATGAAATGTGACAATTTTAAAAGTTTTGTTTTAGCACATGTTCATTGAAAAATATTAAATTCTGCCAAATGACATTTATAATACTGTTCAGAGAGCACATTCACACCATATGTACAATAAATAAAACAACAAATAATATAACTAAAACTAAATGTATGTAAACAAGAAATAAAAAATAAACTAATTAAAATCTAGTGCGCGTAACACACATCTTTCACTTACCGCTCTACTTTGAATAGAAATTATTTTCTGGCAATGTTGGATTATTATAAAATTGTTGTAGGGTATTTTAAACAGAACTAAAGCTTAATGCTTACAGATAACAAATCTTTAAGACCATTACAATTACAAATGTCTATTTATTATATCGACGGTAGGCAATAAAAATCTAGTTCCTCCATCTGCTTTTATAAACCACACAACTTCAGTTTATATCTTTATAACACTGTGAATAAAGGTATACATTTTCCCACTAGAAATATCACTAAAATTAATAATAAAGAATGTTGAAATTGGAGTTAGTCATTATGTCAACCGAAAGGCTATAACTGTTGCAAGTTAAATAAACATTAAGGCAAAATAGTTACTAATACTTGACAATCTTATTTACTATATGTTAATAATTGGTATAACCAATATACTTTTGCATTTAACTCCTCTAATTTTTCATTCGGGCTTACTTAGGTTTCTCTTATCTAAAAAAATACAGTAATATCTCTATAGTAATAAGCTAATAAATAACTGTAAGACTGTTCCGAGACTCTTGCGCAAGACCAAGACTGGGTTTGCAAGACCAAGACCCGTCTCGGTCTCGCATTTGGGCAACAGTAGTCAAAATATTTAACCTATAAATGATTATCGATTGTAGGACTATTAGTTATTAAACTATTACTTTCCATTGTAAAGTTTACTAAAATGATATTAGGAGATTATCATTGGCTACCATGGTTAGGTCAAAAGTTGTCACACTAATTGTAAGTATGTCCACTTACAATTAATGCGACAACTTTTGATCTTGAGATTTCACGAAGGGAAAAATTATCAAATTATTCACTAATTTAATTTCCTAAAAGGTTATTTGATGATTTTTTTGGAATAAACTACCAATAGATACCTAATTATTTAAATATAATATCATCTGTAGAGTTATTAAACTTCAGAAAATATATTTAAGGTTATAAACATAACCATAAGCATTGACTTAATTCGGTGGATTTTAAATACTTTTTTGCTTTACTTAAAAATAAACTTAAAATATTATATCAGATCTAGAATTATTAAACTACAGTAAATATATTTAACGTTAT